GCCTATTTTTTCAGACTCCGCGATATTTCGCAAACACGTCCTTAAGTACTAAGGACTTGGAAATGGAAACACTTTTAAGATATTTTAAATCATCACCGTTAACGTATAACATGTGCAGTGTACATTCGTAATTTTAGAAAAAAAAATCTAAATCAAGGGAGATTTCTCTTCAAAATTCACCCAGACAATTGGAGATCGCAATATTAACCCACAAAACAGAGCACTGTGTATCTATTGACAAGGTCATTTTACTTGTACTCACCATATAGGCTTAGAAATAAAACGTAAAGTATCAGCTTATACATGTCCTACTGTTGGGCAAAGGTCTTCTCTAAAGGTACAGAGGGTATCAAGGCTTGGTCCACCACGTGGCCACACTGCGGATCGGCGGATTTCACATATGTTCGAAAATATTTTTTTTTGTTATTATTTCGAAAATATGCAGGCGTCCTCACGATGTTTTCCTTCGCCTCTGAGCACATGACAATTCCGCACTAAATATTAACAATTACATTCGCGCTGGTACCGGGGAACGAACTCAGGTTGCTCGAGTACATTGAATTAAAGGCGAGCGCCCGGACACTGAGCGATCACGGGTTTAGAAGGCTAATTTCTAATTAATTAAGATCCCGCTTAGATAAACCAATTTTCGAAGTCTGTAAAAGTCAAATTTATACTTACTAAATTGGTTCTTAGATATCAAAACATATTAAACATAGACTTAGTAAATCAATTAAATAACCAAATACAAGTTATATTAATTAAATGAATTAACTGCTGACGTTATGAATTAGTATTCGTAACGTAGGGACAAGGGCAGGTTGCATCGCATTTATAACGACTAAAAAGTGCGTAATTGCATGGCTATAGAAACGCATTTACACAAATCCGCGACTCTACTGTCCATGGTTGCCCAAGCAGCTCCTTTTCAGTTAGCACCGCTCCCCCATGCCTCAAAGTAAGATGCTCTGTAACATCAAGTGCGTCTGTTCATCCATTTTACTTAGACAATGACCTCCCCGAGTCCACTACGTACAGACCATGGGATCCAAGAAATCCAGTGATCTGCCACTCACCACCAGCTCGTAGGAACGTAGAACGGCGCAATACCGACATTGCTCTTTCCACAGTTACACTTGGCTTCAACGTGTAAGACTAGCGGCTAACAAGCCCCTAGTCATACAAACTTAATTAGTATAAGCGATGACGCCTCAACATCAGGCATTCCAAAACATATACGTATATCATAGATACCTCACATGTAATAATTTTCTGTCAATTTTAAAGACCCTAAGAAAAGAAGAACAATGACCCTTTAAAAATGTATTCCTACACCAGCACATTTTTCCAATAACCCCTCTCTTTAAAGACAGAGTCAATCTTCTACTTTACGTGTCGATCATAACCACACACATACAAATCATATCTTTCCGGCCCAGAACTTAGCCACTTCGAAGGGCTTCTTGAAAGGGCGAGCAGGACAGGACATCCTGAACATATTTTCCTTGCTTCGGCCAACGTGAGTCCGAAGTCTATTTAAAGAAAGAGGTTGGCCACGGTAAACAGGACAAAGTGATCCTGAAACAGTTTTAGCACGCCACATGCTTCATGCACATGAGTCTCGCTCGGTTGTGAGGGGGTCGACGTATTTTAAAAAACTTTTCCGACTTTTCAGCCTTTGTGGTAGTAGCTCATGCCCATGTAGGGATTGGTTGGGTGCCACATGTCTTCGTCCTTGCAATAGCTGTGCGTACAACTGACGGCACTATACAAGTCAGTGGACACAGCGACTTCACCGTTATTGTACGGCAGGTTTCATTTAAGAATGTATCCACGAGCTTAGCGCGAGCTGAGAGGGCCCCTCACACGGGGTACCCGAATTCACATGAAAATGCTAGCGCTGCCTAAAGTCCCAGCAAGAGTCACAGTTCCCCATTCAGTGCGGACTAAAACGCCAACCTGCTAGGTAGGTGCGACAGTGCGCCTTTCGTTTTAGGCCTTCACAATTCTGTTTGAAAGTGTGGGATGAGGGAGGGTCAGTTGTACTTGTGTACAGATATCCCGAACACTCATTAAAGCTGTGGTACAATCATAAATGTAGCGGTTTTATGTATATTTAAGATTACAAACGCATCGTCTACTACAAACTACAAGAATACAAATAGATTTGAGCTGTTTATTGGCAGCGATAATTGTTTAACATCAGGTGAATCACCAGGTCATTTAACACCTCCTTAAAAAAAGAGTCAACTTGTATCCTGTTTTTGGTAATTTATTACAAATAATTTTAATGGATAGAGAAACAATAATTATGATATGAAAATATACGCTGACATTTAGATTTTGATAAAAAGAAACAATTTAATATTGTTATAAATAAAGTCACCCCGCTTCGCGGGCCCCTTTCATATATAAAAATGTACACCTAACTGTATTGTCACCTAACTGTTTGTAATAAATAAATGTTTTACCTAATTTATCTCAATTTATAAATAATATTATTTAAGATGTCTCCTGCATGAATTACGTTACCTCTTCCATATATAAAAATGTACAACTATGAACGTAACCTATCAATTTGAAATAATTTCATGTTGAACCTAATTTATGTTCATTTATGAATAATACTGTTTTTGAGTGTCACTGTATTCGTCAATCATTGGTCCCATTATATCAGGTTTGCTAGACCACAAATCCTTGCACAAAAACACCGACATTCGCGTGGCTATTGAAATTGAAAAACCTTATTTCAATAGAGAAGAGGGTTGGGTGTTACCATCAAAGTCAAAGTCAAAGTCAAATATCTTTATTCAATATAGAAGCATTCACTTACTTATTGACAGTCAAAAAACTCTACCACCGGTTCGGAAGGTAAGCCACTGACCTGAGAAGAACCGGCGTAAGAAACTCAGCGGGACATTTTTTTTTACTTGCCAAAAAAATTTACAAATATGTGTACAATTATTAAACTCCACTTGAAAGAGCCTGGAGCGATCAATTCATTTCCAGAGTGTGTTATCATTCATATACTCACTAATACTATAATAGCCATTAACACACAAACGTTCCTTTACAAGTTTTTTGAATTTAGCAACGGATTCATTTTGAACGTTTTCTGGGATTTTGTTGTAAAAGCGTATACATTGTCCCATAAAATATTTACTTATTCTACGCAATCTAGTTGAGGGTAGAACTAATTTATGCTTGTTCCTAGTATTTACATCATGCACATTACTAAATCTTGAAAAGTCATTCTTATTTTTGCGGACATACATAACATTAGCAAGTATGTACTGAGAAGCTACAGTCAATATTTTTATTTCTTTAAACAGGTTTCTTAATGAATCTTTGGGGCCCAGGTTATAAACCGCTCGAATAGCTCTCTTTTGCAGGATGAAAATAGTATTTATGTCGGCTGCATTTCCCCAAAGTAGAATGCCATAAGACATTATACTGTGGAAATAGCTAAAATATGCCAGACGAGCCGTATCCACATCAGTCAACTGTCTAATTTTTTGACTGCAAAGACTGCTGAACTAAGTCTACTCGACAGTCTATTAATATGGGGGCCCCACTGCAATTTGGCATCTACAGTTATGCCAAGAAATACAGTCGAGTCAATTAGGTCTAACGCTTCCCCATGTAAAAGTACATCAGTTTTTACACTTTTTACGTTGGGAGTTGTAAATTTAATACATTTCGTTTTTTTACTATTCAACATTAAGTTGTCAGCACTAAACCAATGCACTACAGTGGAGAGAGTATTGTTAACATCGTCATAATTTGAAGAATGTCGTTTAACTTTAAAAATTAAAGAAGTATCATCAGCAAACAATACTATCTCATGATCATTATTTACAAGATAGGGCAGGTCATTTATGTAGATGAGGAAGAGAAAAGGCCCCAGAATAGATCCCTGTGGAACCCCCATACTTACCAGGGCCCCGGGAGATCTCTTGCCATTCACGTCAACTCTCTGAACACGATAGCTCAATTACGATGTCAGAAGATTGAGTGCGGCATCTCTCATACCATAGTGGTGTAGTTTCCTGACCAGAGTGTCATGCTGTACACAATCAAATGCTTTGGTTAAGTCACAGAATATACCCAAGGCATCCTGTGACTCTTCCCAGGCTTCAAAAAAAATCATCAGCCTGGGAAAATCAATAAAATTTAATATTGGACCAAACGAACCTGTGTTGCAAGACATGATAAAATTGGCTCATTCTGCGTTGATCGACAAAAAATAATAACTTAATAATGACGATAGCCCGGACTTAATATGTAATTCTATCCCGTGACCATGAAGGCTGAAAAGGGTTCCAAAAGTCGGGAAATAAAATTTAAAAATAAACGTGATGAATCCATAAATATGTTGTAATTTAGTAAAGTGTACTCGCGGAAATACGAAAAATAATCATGTGCTCGCTGTTGTACCTATTGTCAGCTTTCATACCGTACCACATTTGACCGTAGAATACATGCCGTATTTGACTTATGCTCGTAAGTATTTCTAGTCATGCATTGAAGTCAACATAGCGTCATCTAACATACGTCATGGCATGTGATTAAAAGTAAAAGTCAAAATTTCTTTATTCAACATAGGCCTATTTTAAGCTCTTATAGATCGTCAAAAACTACCACCAAAACATTAATATTAAACAAGACAATTAGACAAGAATACAAAAACAAAAAAACATATATTTCATAAAATTTATTCATCTTTTATTTTCACTACAAATTAAATTAATCTCTTTAAAAATTAACAATATTTGCTTTATCTCACTTTAGAACATTATATAATACTACACTGAAGTGAAATAAGAGAGAAAAGATTAAAATGGAAAGGAATAAGTAATTAATGACCAATAATTATTTTATAATTTAATATAAAATATGTGCGGAACGTGTAATCGCTCAACAGAAAAGGGACAGTAATTGTTTGAGTCTCTCAATTGCAAGATTTCATATAGTCGTCGGAATCTAAGAAAATTAATTTAGTGCCTTCCCCTATGAATTTCCGTTATAGCTCGGACGGAGGTGAATTTGCAAGCTTCTTCGGTATACTCATTATATACATATTTGGATGTATCGATGGCATCGTTGTTCTTTAAGTAATCATCTACCTTCGACTTGGCGTCACCGAGGGACTGATTTCTCGATATGATCCAGGAGAAAACTGAGGAATAACAGAAAACATATCGCTCATTTATAATGTCAACAAATGAATTAATCAAAATTAAACATTACATCCAATCATATCACTAAACCACACCTATTACCATTTGCAACCCAACCTCTATCCTCATCTATATTCTAAATGATGTCAGAAAAAAATTTAAAATGTATTGAAATATTGAGTAACACAAAATTACAAAATAATATGAATAAGTTAGAAAAGATCCATTGTTTCTTCCTTGCTTTCTGCAAGGAAGAAACAATGGATCAAGGAAGGAACAACAAACCATCCAGTAACATAATTTTCGTTTATAAATCTGGCACGTTTGATTCAAAACAATATTATCATCTGTTTAAACAAAATATGTATGAATTTATTCTATATCAATTTATCAAAAAAGAAATTATGATAAAAAATCGGATTTTACAGATAACAGTCTTAGACATAACTCAGTCACCGAAAATTTTATTGTGCTTGCAATTTTGTTCAGTGCTTGGTCTTGAAGTACCAACAACAGAATCTTTAAAAATATCGCAATATAAAATTTTGTTGTTTTTATAAAAGCAAAACAGATAACCCTTACTAATATTATAAAGGCGAAAGTTTGTATGTATGGATGGATGTTTGTTACTCTTTCACGCAAATACTACTGAATGGATTTTAATGAAACTTTATAATAATATAGTTTATACATCAGAATAAGACATAGGCTATAATTTATATACATATTTCATGTATATCTGTCTTTCTGTCTGAATCTTACGCCTGCAGCCTATTCTACACTAGTCTAGTCGCGGGCAGCAGCTAGTAATATTAAAAGTATAAAAACGCTTTGTGGTTACTTATGCCTGCACATAAGAAGTTATACATACTTCTTTATCATAACAAAAGAAAAATAATTAAAAACTCGTCGGTTTTTAGCTTTTGGTGTGGGTGGATATCGTAAAAATTTTACTCTCATAAATGTTTCCAAAACTGCCAAAAGAAGTATAAGTTATAAAAATATTTAAGGATAATGAAGACAAAAGTACCTTGATGTTTGTTCTCATTCTCTAAAAATTTGCAGCTGTAGCCGATTGCGTAGTTGTTGTAATCCGTGTCGAGAATCGTCAAGATCGAATTCTTCGTGTACGCTGTTTATGGTGAAAAAAAATTGATATCACTTCAATAAATTAATTTAATTCTTGTTAAAATAAGTGAACGACTCGATGGTCAAATTCTATAAAGGTTTTGAGCTGATGCCTCCGCCGTTGTACGAATAGCAGTCTTACGCCGTGGAGTGAAGATGTCTGTTTCGTCTTAAGAGTGACCCCCACAATTAAAAGCCGTCAACAAATCACAACCCTATGGTTATTAAAAATGTTCAAAGGTGGTGGTCATCCCTTAACATCGGGAGAACCGCCAGCTATATATTAATATATTAATTATTAATATATTATGATGTCATGCATTACTTATAACAAAGGCATGTCCGTGGAATGTTTATCAAAACGCTTATCAGAAAATACACAAAAACATTCATTTTAGTCGTGACTCTACGACTAGCGTTTCAAGTATGGTACTGTCATCTGGAACCCCAGCTACCAAATATACAAATATCGATTAGAGAGCATCCAAAGACGATTCACACAATTCTTTTCTAGACTCAATAAAAGAGTATCCTATACTATTCGACTCAAAACACTTAAGTTTAACTCGCTCTCAGATAGACGTAAGCTGCATGACATGATATTCCTGCACAAACTCACTAACGGGACCATAGATAACCCAGAATTGTTTAGCCAAGTGTGTTTTAAAACTCCATCTGGTTCACCGCGGTATCCTTTTCAAGTACTCCAGCCCAATTTGTAAAGAAACAACCTTGGCTACCACTCCATCCTACCTCGTCTTATCAGGGTATACCAAGTTTTCATGGAGAGACAATTCCATCGATTGCTTCTGCGATAATTTAAATACTTTTCAAGTTAATATATTAAGATTATTAATACAGTAGTTAAAGACAATTGATTTTGCACTTACAATAACGTTGACTTATTTTATTTTTATATTTTGTTGTTTTTAATACTTTTTTACATATTTTGTGTTACTCTTTTTTGTCTTAGATTAGTCAAAAACGATTATACCCTGAGTACGACAAATACTCTTGTCGAATGCTGTGATTACTTGTGTTACTACCTATGATCGTGATTACTTGTACAATCACTTTTGTTTATTTAACTCTGTGTACATGTAATTTTGTTGGTAATCGAAAATAAATAAATAAACACAACCAAATTCTTTAATTAATGTTATTATTTTCTTTTGATTATTGTTTTTGTTTTTAAGTTTTAGGTTTAAATGTTAGGATATTCCAACGGTTCAATTCTTATGTGCCGTATTTGTGCAATGAATAGTTCTTTCCTATTTTTTTTTTGTATTAGTAAAATGTATATTATTAAAAAGAATATTAAATCATTGGTCATTGTTACCTCCGAACTTGTAAGTGATCAAAATTTTGCCTGGAGCAGCCAAAGAAATATCGCCCGCAACGTAGGTTTTCACGCCATCGACAACTTGGGAGTTCTTCACCTTGCCCTTTTCACCGTCCACCGTGTACTCAGCCGTTGTGCATTTGCCCCTCCTTCCGTCCTCTCCGCTGTTAGGGAACTTAGCGATTTCGTACCATGTGCCTTGATACTACAAAGGATCAATAATGATGTTAATAATGCAGGTGTAAATTAAGCTTCTTTCATAAGACTTGTGTATGAAGAAGCATGTAGAATGAAGTTGAATGAGAACATATATGCTTGTACTGTCTTAAGAAGTGGTTTATCTGGAAGTGTTCGAGTTACTCCACTGAAACCTAGGGTTGCAGGCGCGTTGTCAAACTAAAAAGGCGATCCCCGGTTACCTCAGTTTCTTTTTTTATGTACTAAATAAACGGCAAATAACTCACTAAAATGTTCTTAGTGGTCTTTCTAGTAATACATTGTTAAGTTGTTAGGTTATGATTAAACGTTATTTACTAGTTGTACATTAAATTAATTCAATAACAATAAATTAGAATGTCTAAAAGAAAATATAATTTTTCTAAAATAATATATGCTTTTTAATATAATAATTTAAATTTACGTCTATATGTAAGTATTTGTATCGTATTTATATATATCTGTACACAAATGAAAACTCAATCAATGCGTCAGTGTATATAATAACTTAAGTAACTTTTAACCGTTATCGCTGTTATCGCCTTCGGTATGAAATACTCGAACAGGAAAAAAACCTTAAAGCAATGCAATGAAAAAAATTCTTATTTAGAAACGTTATGCTATTGTTCAATGATAACAATATAGCTCATGGACACCTAGGTACAGCGTAAGCCCAGCATAAGTCGAAAATAAACTACATGATAATAAACCGGACATTTACGTTAGTTGAAACCAAATGAATCACTACATAGTATAAAACAAAGTCGTTCCGCTGTGTGTCTGTCCATATGTATGCTTAGATTGTTAAAACTACGCAACAGATCATGATGCGGTTTTTTTTATAAGATAGAGTGATTCAAGAGGAAGGTTATATAGGAGGTGTATATTATATTGCACCCATGCAAAGCTGGGTGGGTCGCTAGTATGCTATGAAATAAAGTAACGCCGTCAACTCACATCGTGGAAGTTAAAATTCTCCAATGGTTTCACATCGGGACATGGTCCGTCGACGATGACGTTAGCTGATACTGCCGCGAAGAAGGCTGCGATTAGTAGCCGGAACATTATGAGAATAACCTTTCCCTTCTATGAGTAGAGTATTGAGCAAATGAACTGAGTGATGACTTATTAAAAACTGTTTCACATTATTGAACACACAATCATTTTATACTCGTTCTAGTTCAGAGTTCAAAGGGCATAAGCAACATTTTTCTTAATATAGTCATCGTATACATTTTTATGAGATCAATAATCCTATTCATAACAAAAAAGATCATAATATTTCTTACAACTGTTATCTAAAACTTCGAATGTAAACACAACAAACATATGTCAAATGATAAGAGATGATATGACTACGGAATGTCTTTTTAGTAATAACATAAATCTACAAGAATGCATGACTAATGTAAGCGTCTTAAGTTACTCATATAACTCAAAATGTCTATCTCTGAAAAAAAAAAACACTATGAAAGTAAGAAAAGCGGCAATTGATCAATTGATATGAACTCGAAGATACGATTGCGGACAGTTGTTTCCATAAAGCAGTTGTATATAGACCTAAACTCGTGATGGAGACATTCAATTTTCAGGGTTCTGTACACAAAAAGTAAACCGTGACCCTATTAATAATACGCCGCTGTGTGTCTGTCTGTCCGTCTGTCACCAGGCTGTTTTTTAATGTAACGTGATAGATAGTTAAAATTTTCACAGATGATATATTTCTGTTACCGCTAAAACAACAAAGTAACAAACTGAACCTGCAGATTAAATACTTATTTAAATGGGGCTACCATACAAAATTAACTATTTTTTGTTTTTACAGATAATGGTGCGGAATCCTTCGCGTGCGAGTCCGACTCGCACTTGGCCGGTATTTCTTTAAAGAGCCTTTGACGCCGTTTCACATGCAGTTTTAATTCATAAGCTTTGCAAAACAGTTTTTCTGGTAAGTTTTTGGTATGGCTTTCGTCATAGTAAAAGAAGCTACTATAAGTAAAAGAAGAAGAAGAAGAAGGATATTATTCTTCCGCTTACAAAATTTCTTCCCAGGTGCCGCAAGGATCTCAATTAGATCCAGTTGTCTTCAACATATTTATAAAGGATCTTCCGGAATGTTTTAGGCCTTCCATGCCTTTTATGTTCTCTCATGATTTAAAGTGTTTAAGAGTAATTGAATCATAAAAAGACGTACACATATTACAGAATGATTTAAATGCACTGACGGACTAGTGGAATTTTTATCTATTTTTGGTAAATATATTCCGGCAGAAGTTTATAGAATAAATAAAAAACATAATCTTTCCATCATCAGGCGGCTTAAGGCGGCATTGAGCTTAATAATATTTTCTTAAAACTAATTAAACTTTAAGCATGCTGTGATGGCCTCTTAATTAGATGTACATACATTGAGCTGTAACATTAATTCATATCTTATGTGATATCGTTTTTAATGTAATAACTACTGGCAGACACGTAATAAATATTTAAATAAAACGTTTACCTCACGTATATCTTTAATCAACGTCTCCTGCGAACAAGACGCCACTGTATAAATACTTTTTTTTCACGTTTGTCTACTTTGGCGACTGTTTTAAATCCCCGGCCAAGACGATCAATTTAAGCTACGGTATAGTTTCACGACATTGCAAAGTGAAGTGCTAAAGCTTGTATATTGATGGTAACGATCATATGTATCCTAAATCCAAAGAGTTCAATACCATAGCCAAATGGATAAAAATCAGTTATTGCAGACCATGATTTAAAGCAACTGAGGTAGACTCCATACATAATCGAGTCCTACCCACCGAAGAGAGCCTCAAATCCGCCTCAATCCGTTCTGCGTTCGAGGAAGCTTTAATAGTCTAAAGACTGAAAGCGATGATCCATAGAAGACATAATCGAGACTTCTTATTTTTAAGGTTCCGTACCCAAAGGGTAAAACGGGAGCCTATTACTAAGAATGCTGTCTGTCTGTACGTTTGCCTGTTTGTCTTTCTGTCGGTCTGTCTGTGTGTCCATTATAAAATGTATAAGTGGGGCACCTATACAAACATATAAAGAGTTCTAACGTCATTACATTGGTTCTAATATTTTAACGACAAGCAGAACTAAGGTTATATCGCCGTCGTGGAACATAGCTGAAAAGGCAGTGACCACTGCTCCATGCCACCATATGCCTCTTCGCTCGAATAGATAACGTCATATCCGGTTTAGTGTTGCTAGCGACAAAAAACAGACATGTTCATAAAATATGCGACCACATAATAAAAAATAAAACTTTATTCGTTTATCTTTTCTGTTATTTTAAAAATAATTTACAAATGTATTCTAAATTTTAAGTCGTCAATAGCCAAACTATTCGTGTAAAAAGGTTGACTAAACACATAAAGTTTAATACATAAACCTAGCGGACCGGACAGATGTTGTCCTGTACTCACAACTTAACCCCGACAACAAGTTATAAATAAAAAAAAATTGTAGTCGACCGAATTATGAATGTAAACCGTTATCGAATCCACCTGAATGCACACAAAAATTTCATTAAAATCGGTCCAGCCATTTAGGAGGAGTTTAATGACACGTACAGAAGAATTAATATAAAGATATTAAAGTTTTTGATGATAGTCACTAAATATTGTCAGAGTGAAAATCAATTATTTACATAAGAGATTTCCACCGACAATTGACTCATCACGATATCTCTGGAACCATAAGGCGTAGAGACTTGAAATTTGGTAGGAATATTCCTTTCGCCGAGTAGAGGTCAGCTAAGAATTTTACGAAATCCCACAAAACAACGTTTCCCGGATCGGCTAGTCATTTATAAAACCTAACGAGTCTTGCCGTTAATTGAACCACCTATCTACGTAGCATTAAATTGATTTTTCTAATTGTAATAGCCAAACGCACTAAACATGCTAAGTTAAATAATAAACATAATATTTTCCTTCATTGCCGTTACTTTTGCTAAACTGTCGTCAAGTAAAAACTAATCTACAATATGGCTCTCACGTAGGTACACAAGGTTAAAAAACACGAAGAAATATAAAAACTATTAGGTTAATAAAACAACTTTATCGCACTCTTAACAAAACATTGAACAAAGTGGGTTATCACTGTTCTGATAAGTTTCCGTTTGAACACCTTTTCTGCTGTTCTTTGAGATAAATCTGATTAGGTAACTGTGGTAGGGACACGCAACATTTTTGCTATCGAGCGAATGGGAGAGCTCGTTTGGAGAACACCGTCGGATAAAGTGAAAGTACTATACTTTCGCGTTACATCCGGTGAGTGAGGTAGCCGGGGCCTACAGTAAGTTTAATCAGGACTTAAATATTTCCATGGCGACGGCAATTGCTCAACATAAGATGAGCCGGCTTATCACGTAAAAAAAATTTCAAAAATGAATTAATTTTCAAACTTCACATCATTCTTACCCGTTTATTTGACCAGCTTCTATTGCTGCTGAATCCCTAGCCGCGAAGTAAAAGTACCGGTAAATTTGTCTTACATCCTGTATGGAACGTAATAGAAGTGTTAAAAACGAAACTACATCACCACGTGTGCGGTCGATGAATTTACGTGGCAGTAATCTCTTATCAACTAATGAACACCACCTGCTTGACTCCCAATTTTGCCCCTAATTAATTAAATGTCTTTGCATTTAAGCTCTCAAGTACTGTGGGTGTGCACGAGCGAAGGTAATCACCAAACACAAGGCGTCACAAAACTCTTTACGATAAAAAAGTTAATCTTAAACAGTTGAGACACAGCACAGCTCACTGCTATGACTTTCACTTTGTAAATGGTTATAAAGGTTTATGTAACAACTGTTATATTTACTTAATCATAAATCTATACATATTATAAAAGTTTACAATATGCGTGCCGCTTAAACTCAGCTATTCCTGGTACGATCGAGGGAGTAATATGGTGTATTAGCTCTTTATCAATCACTCATAATGAAGGTTCCTCAACATGCGAGAGTATTCGATAGTGCTCTACAACATTGCAGAACATCCTAGAACATTCTGGAATGTTCAGGAGTAGACGTCGTCAGTGCTCCTCTTTAACAGTACTAAACAAGTGTTTCCTGTGGAAAATAGGCTTACTCTCCAAATCGGGATGGCTAAGAGTCATTTTATTTATTATTTTATCGTGTACCCTGTTTTTTGTTAACATAGGGGAAATGTCTACGCATACCCACCATCGCGGGTACAAGGGAAGTTTATGTTATACTCGCACTGAGTAAATCTCCGACAGTATTCCACCCAGTGCGGATATCGGCACGGCCATGGGAACAGTTTCGCATACTTCCTTGAGGAGTAACTGCCCTTTCCTCCAAGGAACGCTGGAACATTCAGTACATCTTCCTACTGAGGGTTCGTTGACCGTACAAAAAGAGCTGCCCTTTTGTACGGTCAATGAACCCTCATTCGGAAGATGTATTATGTCGCTATATTGATGTACGGTCAATGAACTCTCGCTGAACAGAGGCTATGAGAGGCAGAAGAGCTGGAGAACCCAATGTGGCGAGCCTAGTCTGTGTCCGCCGCTCAACACGTTTCGGCAGCGGAGGGTAGGGAGAACGGCGTATCGCAATACCGACACGCCTCTACCTTTACCATTCCGCCTCGGTTGGAGAAGACAATGAAGTGCTCCTCTAACACCCTAGATCTGTTCCCAGCACCCTCTCAAACCTTACAGAGGCGACTCAGTAAGCCCATACGGAGCGGCCCTCTCAGCCCGGCCCAGTGTGGATTCCTTTTGGCTCCACCGTGAGCGACCAAACCACGGCGTCTAAGCCCCTCCCCCACGACAGGGCGGGAACCCGGTTTGAGGCGATTTTACTGTGTATTCGCCTCTACTTCTCTGGACCACTCGTTTGGTCTATCGGTAGAAATGCTTTTGGCATTAAATCCGTCAATTTACAAAGATATTTTTTCGCATAAATACAAGCGTGCGTATAATATAACATTATTGTAGTTTGTTTCAAACATGTTGTCGTATTTTTAGTTAATTGTCATAATATTACTTACCAAACGGGTATAAAAATAAACATA